TGCAGGCAGGTGGGTGGAACTCCCAGAGTTAACCCACGGTGAGCTTGGAAAGGAGCACCGTCCACCCTGCACCCGTCCTTCCTCCTTCACGCTGTGTGGCATTTGTTAGGTGCCAGATTAGGTGCAGACCTAGGAGGCCTGGAAGGGGAAGCTTTTCCCTCCAGGGAGAGCCTGGACCTGAAGGATAGCCTGATTCAGGATTTTAGGCAAGAGGCGGGAGGGTAAGGAAGAGGGGAGCCCTGTCCCACCCCGAAGGTGGCAAAGACTTCCTAGTGCCAGGGGCCAGCAGCACTCTGCTGACTTGAAAGCAGTACCTTCCCCCCGGACCAGCAGAGGCCAGATGTCTCGGGGAGGGGGTGTGGAATGATGTGTTCCAAGTCACACAGCCAGGAAATGTCAGCGCCCGGCCCGCACCTCCATCCTTGCCACACTGCCTGTGAGAGTGTCTGCCTGTCTCGGTGACGGTTCCACACGCCCACGCCGAGATGTGCACCGTTCTTTCCAGCAGCTGTGTGGTGCTGCGTGGTGTAAATAGACGGTTAATTTATTTATCCCGTTTCCTCTGGATGGCCATTAGTTTGTTTTGGATAATAAATTTTTGCTAACTCTACCAGAATGGTGATTGCATGCAGTTCAGCCTAATACAAAGGATGCTGCAGCTAATGTTTTATTTCACAGACACGCGCTCTTCCGATGCGGTGCTCAGTGCTTTGTAAATATTAACTTTTTTAATCCTTGCAAAACCCTTAGAAGGAGGCCCCGTGATTTTCATCATCAGCCCCATTTTGCAGATGAAGAAACTGAGGCACAGAAAGATTAAGTGACTTGCCTAAGGCCACACAACTGGCAGGGGGCTGGGATTTGAACCCTCACAGGGCTCACAAGGCCCACGTCCTTGCCACGTCTTCGGCTGCAGTGGAGGGGGTGCGTTCTGGGAGGTGGCCTGCTGGTTAGGAAGGTGTGCTTCAATTCTGCTCCTGCCCGAGCCTGTCCTGTGCACCCCTGGCTGAGGGAATGTGCTCCCCACCCCCACCCCACCCCCAGATCTTGCCAGTGAAGCAGCTGCAGCTGGTCAGAGCCCAAGAAGCTGGAGCCCACACTGGGCTCTTTGTCTTCGGTGGGAACCCTGTAGCCCCCACGGCCCCTCTCAAGGGCCCACTGTCCCCGCACCAGCAGGGCCTCCCAGGGGCCGGACCCGGCTGGGAAACTTGGCACGTTGGAGGCCCCTTGGCCACCCTGCCAAGTGGACATGCAGGGCCCACTCAGAAATCCCTCCTGCTGGAAAGACTGACCGGCCAGGCTAAGAGCCATGTCTGAGGAAGTGCCAGCACCATGCACCTCAGGCCCAGCTCTGGTCCTCCCCTCAGCTCTGGGAGCCCCTGCTGCTGCTAATGCCCAGGAAGGAAGTACCCTCTCCCTCCTCAGACCAACTGGAAGCCACATCCGGCTGCCTTGTGAGCATGAGCGTCCATGCTGTCCTTGGCTGCTGTCCCCACCCAGGAATCTGCGGCCCTGCCCAGAGCCCCCTGCCCGAGGAGCCGGCTCCTCCTCTGACAGCCAAACTAAGGGGGTAGTTCTAAGGGCTGGGAGATCTCGCTTGCCCCTTCCAGGCTCTGCACTCCGCTCGCTGCTCTTGAGGGCTCTTCCGCTCCCTGTGTGTTGAGCAGAAAAGGACCAGAGCAGAGCAGGGAGGGAGGGGGCAAGGGGCTGGGACAGGCCTCCTAAGAGAGCAGTAATTGCTGTGCTCCAAGGTCGCGGTGTCCTCACGTCTGAAACCGGGAGACCTCTGCGCCATCCCCACAGTCCAGAGGAGGCACGCTGTGGAGAACCTGTGCCCACACCAGTTAGTTCCCAGGGGAAGATGCAGCCAGCCCAGCCTGGCCCAGGGCCCATGTGGAACAGTTCCTGAAAGACTTCTGAAGAATCCCTGCCACCCTATCCTTGTGCCCTTGGTTGTCCTTCCTCCCTTGCCCCCACACTGTGTTTTCTGCAAATCTCAAGACTGGGGGCCTCCCAGTGTGCAGGAGGAGGGGGGAAAAACCCTCTTGAGGGGGCAAGGAGATGTTGCCCGTGAGTGGTGGGTGCGTCCTGGAGGTGGGCCAGTGTTCCTGTCACCTGACAGGCCTGCACCTGGGACAGGGGAGACAGCTTCCTGTGGGTGGAGCATTGGACTGTGAGCTCTGGGTGAGTTGGGTGCAGACCAGATATTTAGAGAGTTTGTTGAGTGAATGTATGACTGGCTCTAGGACTCAGAGTCGGGTTTCCCTTGTGGAAATTGCCAAGTGAGGTAACCCAGGCTGGAGTAATTTTCAAGAAAGTAGAGCTCTCCATTCCCTCCCATTTGCTCCTCATTAGGGCAGTGGAGTTGGGGGGCTTCTGGAAGAGGGGGCAATAAAAGGGTTAGGGAGACTGTGCCTTCCTTCACTCACTTGCCTGAAGAGCAGAGCTTCTGCTGGGCCCTGGGGGCTGACAGCTGGCACGTAGTGAGCATTACTGGGCGCGGGGGTGGGGGGGGCTGGGCACTTTACCTGCACCATCTATGGGCATCACCGACAGGGCCCTGGGAGGCCTGTGGGGTAGTTCCATTTCACGCGGCAGAAACTGGAGGCACATGGGGGGCTGGGGTTTGCCCTGGTGCAGACCATTTTGACTCTGATTTCCAGGTTCTTGACCCAGAGCGCGGAGAGCCCCTCCGTCCTGATGATGTGGGGCAGACTCGCCCACAGGTCTTGTGGGGGGGGGGTGGGAAGGTGGTGGCAGAAGAAGGTGTCTCCCGAAAGAGGGTCCACCGCCTGGTACCCCAAGTCCGGACTGGCCCCTGGCCTGCGGATGGGGAGTCTGAGTCGCCCCCACTCCAGCCTGCCCCTCCCCCCCTGCCCCCAGGCCCCGCGCGACACCCCCATCCCCCAGCTCGGAAAGTCCAGCGCAGCCCAGGCCGGGTCCGCCGAGGGCGGCGCGAACAAGCGGCCCTTTCTGCGCGCTGCTGCCCCCGGCAGCTGGACGGGCGCCCGCGGCGCCGCTGACAATCCCGGGGCTTGTGGCCGGGGCGGGCGGCCTGGGTTGCCAAGGTGACCCGGGCACCGGGAAGGCGGCTCCAGCGCGGCAGGCGGCGGCACCATGAGCGGCCGCAAGCGCAGCTTCACCTTCGGGGCCTACGGAGGGTAGGTGCGCGGGGCGGCGGGGCGCAGCCCGCAGGGCCCCGGGGGTTCTCTGTGAATTTGTGAATTTGCGCTCGGGCGCGTGAGTGCGTGTGTCTGTGCGCGCGTTCCGCTTGGGGGTCAGTGTGCACGTGCGGGGTCGTGAAGGCGCAGGGTGGGCTTGGGTGGGCATTTCTGTGGCTGCGCCCTAGTGACCTGCTGCTGGATGTGACCGGTGCTGACAGGCACTCCGGGGTGCAGGTGGAGCTTTGTGGGGTGGGGGGAGGCAGCGCAGCGGGGTATTGGGCGAGGACCCCCCCTTGGCCCATAAAGCGGCTGTTCCCTTCAGTGAGACTTTGAAGGAAGGGGGTCTAGAAGCCCTTAGCAGGCCCCCGGACCCTACCTCTGGGCGCCTGGCTCTCAGGAATCACCTCCTTTCTGGGCCTTGGAGACCTCACGGGGAGTCAGAGTAGCTGGCTGGGCCATCTCGGGGCCGGTCACCTCCCTCCTGATGCTGAGTGCCCAGCTCAGAGGGGTGCAGAGGAGGGATGCGGGTATTCTTGCCCAGGGCAGATTTGGCAAATGGGAAGGAAGACCAGGCAGGCACATCGGGGCCAGAACCCCTTCCCCGGGTGTCAGGGAGTCGCCTGACCTTCAGTGATCCTGCATCAGGGGGACACGTGGGTGTCTGGGTGTGGAGCAGTTGGGGCTCATGCACGTAAGGCTGCCTGGCAGAGGACGTGCTCTCAAGCTGTGGGGCTGTCCCCCAGGGGCCACCTCTTTCTGGATGCCCAACCTCGGAGTGCACCTGGCAGAGGGGTTAGCCAGGCGGGCACCCTCCTGTCGGGGCTCTGCTTGAATTCAGAACATAAAAGGACCCCCTAGGTTGAGCCCTGAGATTTGCAGCAGCTGACACCGAGAGGCAGCCCAGGGGAGTGGGGCTGGGTCTGCCGTTGACCTTGGGCAAGTCCTGGCCTCTCTGGCCTCATTTTCTCCACCTGCAGAGTCTGCTTTCCTCATTAACTGACCCCTGGGAGTCCCCACAGCTGCTCCCCAAAACACATGCCCTAGCTAACTGGCAGAGTCCGGTTTGGGGCCCCCTCTTCATTCTCCTCTGGCCATAATTGTTTGTTGTCCCAACAGCTGCCCCTGACCGTCCCCCCGCTGGGCAGCAGAGAGCTTTCCAGCCTTCCCCAAGCTCAAGGTGCCCTCAGAGTGATGGGGGGAGAGTCTGGGAAGGAGGGCACGGCCCATAATTAATTCTCTGACGCTGGCCCTGGGGGGCTTTGGAGGAGACAATGTCTTAAGGTATCCCCTGGACTCCAGGGCCTGAGGTCTCTCTCTACTCTGCTTCGAAGGCAGGTGGCTCCTCAAAGGCCTTCTGCCCCCAAATTCCCATGCATTTGTCCGGGGGGGTTGAGTGAGCGATCGCTCCCAGTGGGGGCAGGCTGCTGAGGAAGTGGCAGAGGGCTTCCCCTTTCTGCCTGCCATAAGTCCTGGCACACCGGAAACACTCTGACACGGCCCGCGCTGCACCCCTCACCCCTGCTCTGACTCTAGACTGCTGTAGTCACTGCGGCCCTCACCTGTTCCAGAGCCTCCCACGCCGACCCCCAGCCCTGCTGCCTCCCCGTAGCCTGGCCTGCGCCCCTGCTGCCCAAGCCCAGGGCTCTCAACACTTGCCTCTTTACCCCACCCCCACTCCTTCCCATGTCCCCACGAGACATCAAGGCCCCCCCCCCGCAGCCTAAGGACCCCTCCCAGCCCCTCTGTGAGGGTGGGGGCCGGTGGGAGTCATTCTCATGTGCTGGCAAGCTAAGAAGGGGCGGCCCCCTCATCCGCTGCCCCTCTTCTGTGTTTCAGGGTGGACAAGTCCTTCACCCCTCGGCGGAGTGTGTGGTGAGTACTGAGGTGTCTCAGGAGGGGCTGGGCTGCTTGGCTGAGCCTCGGAGATGCTTCCAAACCATTGCCACTCCCTAGAATGCCAGCCCAGGCCCCACCCACCCTCCAAGTACCCTCTCCAGGTGATGGGGCGGGCAGACCCTCTTTCTGGCTTGCCCCGCTCCCCCCAGCTCTCCCGCACAAATCTTCCCAGAGCCCGGCCTTGGAGTCAGCCAAGTCAGGTCCAATCTCAGCTCTGCTACCGCTTGTGTGGCTGTCAGCAATTCACAAACCTTGCTGAACCCCAGTGTTCTCCTCTGTGAAATGGGGATTAAAATGTCTGTATAACAGAGTATAAAGTTATTTACACACACACACACACACACAACCAAAACAGGGCCTGGAATGTTATAGGCCCCCATAAAAGTGTCTCCTTCCCTTCTTCTGCTCTGTTCCTACCCACATCATGGTGGCTCCTGGGCTAGGGGTGCCCTTAGCCTTTTCACTGACCCCAAACTCCTACCCCACTCCCTATGGCAGAAAGCCCCTCCTCCAGGCCGTTTCCTAAGGCTGCCCTTTCTTTGGGAGAGGTGGGAGGGAGGTAGTTGTGTCAGAAGCCTCCCCAACACCAGGAGCAGTAGGTGGGAGTGCAGCTTCATCTGGGGATCCCCAGCACCCCAATGCCCCAGCAGGAGGGCCCCTCTCAGCCTCCCTGGTGCCTGTGTCACATGGGCTTGGCTGGCTGTTCCTGCTGCCACTTCAGCTCCAGCAGGAGCGCCCCCAGGAGATCCCCTGGCAGCTCTGGCTTCTGCTTCCTGCCCCTGCTGAGGGCTTCCTGGGGTCCCCAGGCCCTGCAGTGCCCCCAGCTGTTGGACACCTATGTTGCACCAATGTCTCATCTGCTGTGGGCCTCCAGGAAGCCACCCCTGGGGCAGGAGGTCCATGGGGTGCCCAGGCTGAGTGCCAGGACTGCCCTTTTATTTTCTTTGATGCTCCCTGTGCAACCTGAGACCAGTTACTCTCCCTCTCTGGGCTTTATCTCCTGCTGTTTTGCCCAGTCATTATGAGTCTCTGCTGCACGTAAGAGCAGGTGCTAAGCCCAAAGCAGAAGTGGGGAGCGGGGGAGACATCCTTTCCTTCAAGGAGCACAATGATAATAACATCACCACAGCCACTTGTCAAGCACCTGCTGTGCAGCAGGTACTGTTAGGTGCTTGACTTGAATCATTTCACATCATCTTTACCACGTCCCTGAGTTAGGGACTATTATCTCTAATTACGGAGGAGAACAATGGTGCAGAGGGCGTGACTTCCCAAGGTCGCAGGCGAGTCACTGGCAGAGCGGGGCTTTGAACCTCCATCTTCCAGACTCTGTGCAGAGCCCAGAGTCTCACCCATTCTGTTCCAGTGTCTCCTGGCCACAGGGAGGGTCCAGGTGAGAGATGCGCTGGAGGGAAGACATGAAGGTGAAAGGGGTGACCCAGACAGCCCACCCTGGGGAGCCCTGAGCCAGGTTACTGTCAGTCACTAACTGCTGTGTGCCTTGGGACAAGTCCCTTCCCCTCACTGGCCTCAGTTGACACACCTATAAAATAAGATTCTGGAATCTCCTGGACATGTCCATTACCCAAAATACCTTGCCCTGCACCCACTTCCCTGGAGCTGCTGTCCAAGGTGCTAAGTCCAGGCTTAGCACCCTGGGAAGCCAGTTGCTTAGCCCCAGCCTGTGCCTGGCATAGAGTCAGTGCTCAGTAAATGGGGGTCATTTTAACCATGAAGGATGATTCCTTGGTATTCAGGCCCAACTTCACCTCCTCTGCCGACCTGGGACTCGCTCCTCCTGCACCCTGCATTTCTGATCCACAGCCCCAGTGGGCACCACCTCCTCCTGCCCACTGCCCCCTCCCCTGGCACGCCCTCCCCTCTCATGTCACTATCTGCTGAGGGCTTTCTTTCCTGATCCCCACTGTCCATCTTCGTCACCTCAGAGCACCTCCCCTGCCACTCTCCATGCCTGTAGGGCGCACATTCGCGCTTATTGCCAGGGTAGCGAGAGCATGGTCCTCAGAGTCTGACGGAAGTGGACCTGAATCTGCCCCTGCCACCTGCAGGTGGTGTGACCATGGGCAGCGCACTTCCCCTCTCTGAGTCCCACTTGATGCTCTTCCGGTACCTGCTGAGTTGGGTGTTTCAGCGAGTTGGCCTCAGTTGAGTTGACTGTGGCATGAGGCAGGCTCTGAGGTCCCTGAAAGCAGGGGTTGTGTGAGTTACTTTTGTGCTTGATTTGGGCCCACCTGTCAGCACCTAACCCATAAATGCTGGGCTGTCCTTTCTCTCCTCTTCCCTCTGTCCTCACATCCTCTTGCACAGCTGCCTGAACCCAGTAAGTGCTCAATGAATGCTTGTGGATTGAACTGAATGTGTCCAGAGGCGAAACTTTGTCAAGTAGGTGTGTGGAGGGTTTTCTGGAGGAGGTGTGACTTCCCCGACTCCTTTCAAGAAAAGGATTAGGAGATTGGAGTTTGGGTCAGGGGAGCAGTGAGGCCTGGTGAGGCCAAAAGTGACCATGGCTGGTGCCCCCACCCTCTGCCCTCCAGCAGCTGGTTATCAGCAGGAGGAACTCAGAACGAGCGGGCAAGGGTCAGTGGGATGGAGCCCACGGGATGGTGGTGGCTCTGGTTCTGCAGAGGGGCCTGGACTTCTAAGAGGGAGTTTAATGGTGGGGTCGGAGGAGGTGGGGTGGGGTCGGAGTGGGGGAGTGATTTGGTGGAGTCATGCAGGGGAGGAAGTGTCCTGGGGAGAGGGTCCTTGACCTTAATGCTGGGAGTCTGGAGGAGGTGGCTGGACCCCACAAGGGTAAGGTGCCAGCAGTGTCAGACCTGAGATTATGGTGTCGCGTCGCCGTCACGAGGGTCCTCCGGGCTGACCTTAGCACACATTTGAGAAGCCAAATCAAGACGGAGAACAGTGAGGCTCTGGCCCCAAGTCACACAGCAGTGGAGGCTGGATTTGAGGGGCCATGGTTAGGGACAAGGAATGAGAGCAGTCCTGGTAGTGGGGTGAGGGAGAATGGGGAGAGGAAGATGACCCTGAATACCTTCCAAATAGGGGTCACTGCCCACCCCCTGTGTCCCACTGGGAGGGCCCCCCTTGTCGCTGAGATCGCCCTCCTGACAGTAATGCTACTGGTTAAGCCCACACAGGAAGTGGTTCCTGGGTCCCCTGGCCCTGAGGTGAGCCCTTCCCCTGAGCTCTTTCCTTCCATCCTTAACCCCAGCTTTATCAAGCAGAACCTATTACCACCCATCCCCCATTTTACAGATGAGGAAACTGAGGCTGCAGGAGGAGGTGTGGCTGGCCCAGAGGCACACAGAGTGAGGGTGAACCAAGTTAGCAGCTTGGGCAGCCTGAGCCCAGACCTCTCGCTGATGCCACTTGCGCTGAGCAGGCCCGGGTGGGCCCTGTCCTCAGGTGGCTCCTCACTGTAATTACTGCACGGCGGCTCCGGGGCCTGTGTGAGGCTGCAGGAAGCACGAGACTGGCTTCATTAGTGGCTTTGAAATGCCAGGCAGGCACAGCCCGCTGGGCCTCCTCATCTATTATGCATCTGGTGGGCAGGCCCCTGGCGGGCAGCTGGCAGAGCACAAGATGGGGGAGCTACAGCTGCTTCCTGGGCCCACACCTGCCACCGTACCTCTGGGCAGGGATCCCCCAAGGCAAATGCCAGGGCATCTCCTGCTTCATCCTGCTGGTCCAGCCAGGATGAGGGGGTCCCGCTGGGGCAGGTGCGTGCTTGGTGGTCCTTGGCTGCCTGTCACCACAGCCACTTCTGAGAGCCTGGAACCTCCTTTGAGCTGGGATCATTTGGGACTGGGGGTGGTATGCAGGGGCAGGCTGATGTTGACCCTGAGGTGCACAGCCTTCTGGGTGTGCAGAACCACTGGGGAGAGGAGTCGTGGTCACCTGCTTAGCACTTGGCCACTCAGCCACAAAGAACTATCGAGGTCCTATGTGTGCCAGGCCCAGCTCAAAGGGCTGAAGATTGGGTGGAAAATGAGACAGTGCCAGTCCTTATCCTCAGAGCTCTTGGTTTGGCCTGGGCATCATCTTTGAGCTTCAATTCCTCATCTTTGAGCGGGAGTCTATCCACAGGCAAGAACACGCTACGGTGCAGGCGCTGAGCTTTACAGCAGGGATATGTGCTGGGGAGCCGAGCCTTACCCAGACTGTCCTGAGCGCTGGACTGTGTTCCAAAGCGCTCTCCCCATATTGATGGATTCGGCTTCACAGCGACTCCATGGGGTCCCGGTAATACCGTTATTATCTCTAGTTTAGGGCTGAGGAAACTGAGGCCAGAGCAGTGAAGTGCCCTGTTGAAGGGCTCTTGGCAAAGCAGAGGTTTGGACCCAGCTGGCTCCAGTGGCACAGCATCCTGCGCTGTCAGGCTGGACGGTGAAGGAGGAAGCAGTTCTGGAAAGTGTTTCTGAGGAGAGGGCATTTGAACCAAAACCCGAAGAATGGGAGGAGCCATGGGAAGCTTTGGCAGAGGTGGGAGTAGGGAGGTGGGGGTGGTCCTGGCTGGGGGAACAGCAGGTGCTGTTCTCTGAGGCCCCAGTGGGAAGGAGCCGGCCTTGGGAAGGCTGGTCCAGGCAGATAAGTGTAAAGACCTTGAGGCAGGAACAAGATTCTTTCCCCCATCCCAAATCAGGAACATTCCACATCCTCTCCTGGCAGTAGGTGGAAGCTGTCTGAGCGGGCAGGGGGCCTGGAGGCCCATCTTCCCTTAGATCAAGGAGGCAGGCTGGGAGTGGGGCTGGGGGTGGACACACGGGCAGGCATGCAGGACCAGCTTGGGGTGACATGGGATGTGCAGGCCGAAGGCTGGACAGAGTGGAGGCCTGCAGTGGAGCCACTGCAGGGCACAAGCAGCAGCCAGCCTGGCACCCATCTGGCTGGCCCCACTGCACACACACAGTTCCCCGCCCTTTGACTCTTGTCCAGACATCTTCGTCACGAAT